CTTTCGTGCGCGCTGCTCTCAAGTGGGGTATAGTATTTTAGGAATATAACCTTACTAGGTTCAACCACCAAAAAAACACTACTCACCTGTGAGTTTGAGATTCTTAGGGCTCAGGGTTGAGGCTTATAGGGTCCCCATAATGAGGACCATAGTCTAGGGGTTCATATAGGGGTTATATTATGGGGATAATGGAAAAGAAAATGGAAACCACTACAATGGGTTATATAGGGTTAGGGTTTAGGAGCTACTGTAGTGGTTTATATAGGGTTTAGGGTTTAGGATTAGGAGTTTGAAAGGATAGACACGGAGCTTTTCTATGGTCGGACTGTGTTTCCTGATTAACAGTGATTAACATGGACCCCAACAGCCCGCTTGCAATCCGCCTACCCTGCCCAATCCCCGCCCCACACTCCTCATGTCATTCCGTTTAAAATCCGCCTGCACCCTGCATAAAGTGACCTTGCAACGATCGGGAAAAAAGAGCTCAGCGTGTGATTTAAGCCTTGTTCCTTTGGATCTTAAGGGTAAGAGTAACTTTCGCAAGGTCGCCATCATGAAGATCTTGCTGGAGTGCTTTGAAGATGATGTCACCGTCACCAAGCGGGTGCCTCAGATGTGTGCTCCACTGCCATCCCTTGAGGAGCTGACGGCAGCAAGCATTTCCTGGTGGGTCATGAGGGTGCAAGCAAATACTAGGTTGATTGGGGGCAAGCATGCTGGGCCACAATAGCTTCAGCTACCTGATGGCTTTCGACGGGCTTCCGTGCCATTGCGTTAATGATTTCTGTTCTGAGGACTGGACACAAGTTGCTCCCGCCATATATCCGGGTGATTCAGGGTGACGGCGTGCTGCACTCGGCATAGCACATCATCAGCATCAATAAACTTCCCGACCTGCTAGTTTCCCAGGTTGACTACGAATCCATCCCGAAGATTCTGAAGCGCTTCAAGGTGCGAACCTTTGCGGCAGTGGGTGGCGGCTGTCAGCTCTTGCTTCCTTAGGAAGAGGGCATCGCTGCTGCAAACATCGGCTTTGGAAGTGGCATCTTCGCTGAAGTGAATTCCAGCAGATTGACACATATGACGCTCTGTTGCGGAAACATTCGGAAACGGTCGTTCATTTGCCTGAGGCGGTGCCTTGCTGCAGAAGGTCAATCGTGATACCTTCAAGGCAACGTGTGGACGCGTATGGCTGTTCTGGACGCTTTAGCAGGTAGCATCATGACAGCAAGCTAGTTACGGAGGTCTCGAGCTGATGCATGCCATGGAAACCCGTGCAAACAGAAAACTTCCAAGAATGGTCACGGTGACTAGGTGGCGTTTAAGTGCGCGGAGATCACACTTGAGAGCGGCGAGGCCATGGAAAACACCCGTCTTGACAACCTAATGATAGCGATTGCATGTGTGCAAGGCCAGAGAGGTCTTCAAGGATCCGCTCACAGACGATGGCAAGGCTTGTAGTTGCATACTGCATCGTAATTCCAGCATGGGGGCACCATACAAGCTATCGATGTAATGTCTACTTGACTGCCTGGGAGGCATCGAAGAAGGGACGATTAACACTGCAGAAAGCGCCGAATCCCCAACATGGATCATCGACTAAGGTTTGTAGAAGATTTCTTCGCCCCCTGAGTTCCAGCGTTCCATGAAAAGGTCGGACATTGTCAGCTACTCCCCTGAAGACGTGTACAAGCCGCGCCAAGGGCCAGATGGTGAAAAGGGCCTGGGCCTAAGAACTGGCAATGCCTGAGGGTGTTGTTCCGTTCTTGTGTTCTTATCAGGCGGCACTGGCTTCTTGCACTTTACTCCGGATGGCAAGTTTGTGACTGTGGCCAGCGGAAGGCAGCCCGGAGGTGTCCTGCAGATCATTTTCGGTTCATATTTTGCCTCCAGGGGCGATCCAGAAAAGGATCTTTTGGTGCTTCCGGCTCAATTGAAACTGCGGTTGGTTCCAAGGTTGTTCGCCACTGGAGCATTGAACCTCGCAACGCATGCCATCCTGCCAGGTCGATGTCTTCGCAGATGGCCAGCTGCTGAAGGCACTGGGCAAACCGCACTGGGTTTACAAGACTTTGACATTTAAGTGGCACATCGCAGAGGAGTTAACGTAGCTAGTACGTAGCTCTTCGTTTTTGCATACGTGGAAACCTCTTAAAACATATCTAGGCTTGCATGCAGACGGAATTGAAGCTTGTCCCGGAGTGCAATCGGGCAACCAAGCAAGCCGGGAACGGGAAGCTTCTGCAGCTGACAAACGGAAAGTTTCAACTCGCACTTCAGTATTCAGCAAATCCTGAACTGCAACGCTGAATTCTCGCAGTCCACGTGCGCACACCGAAATCAGTGTCTGACCCTTGTATCCCACTGTGCTTCAACTTGTAACTTGTATGTACGTGCAACCGGAGCGTTCCTGCCGCTGCAGGAATACAAGCTTGGGGAGATCCGAAGACGCGCCGATGTGCCGAATGGCTCATGACCTTGGACTTCTTGAGCGCAAGCATGGCAAGCACGTTGTGCAATGCTTTGAGCTGAGGTCCGTTCATCAACTTGCCAGAGGAGCAGTGCAACAATGCTTCTCTGCTACATTCTGCTGCACTGTGGGCTTGCAGCATGGGAAACAGGAGCCAGAGGAACCTGCCAGAGCCCAATTGCATGATGAGTTAATTTCTGTTCGTGCTACAACATGCGCTTCTAGCTTCACACCATTGAACTCAGGAGCCAGTCAAGGAGGCAAGATCATGCGAGCGTGCGCAGCATTGCTTGTGTGGATTTTTTTTCTCGGACAGGTCCCTGCTGAGCCACAGGTCTGCGGCCAAGACAGCAGAAGTTCCCTGGCCATGAGTTAAGTTGCAAGATGCTGCAATCAAGTGGAAGGCGCGCATTATGATGCCGGGTGTTTCCGTACTTGCCTGAGTCACTGAGCTTCCGATGATCACCTGGTTGTAGTCTTTGCAGCTTTTCCGCGGCCGAATCAGGTGCCGGGTGGAGTGGCAAGGCCCGAGCTCAATAGCGACATGTAGCGACAGTTGTTCTTGTGTGGCCAGACGTGAATGCTGTGAGTGCTTCGAAATTCATTCGTGAGGTCCGTAGTTGCCCCGACATACATGCCCTTGGCACGCTTTCCGTACATGCCGAGTCAGGGTGTTGCTCGTGACTTAGTCCGACTTGATGGCGCAAAGTAGACCCTCAGTCTTTCAGTCGGTTCCAAGATACTTAAGCTCTGATGGCTTGCCTCTACTCAGGTCATGATGCAGTCGCCGCCAGGTGCAGCAAGGGTTGCCCCGGTCGTGCACTCGGCATGCATGTTCTCCAGTAGGTTTTCAGCCAATTGCAGACTGCACAGCAGCAAACGTGTGAGGCGAGCTTCGTTGCAGCGCCTCAGGCCGATTGTTGAAGTGCAAGGGCACTTTTTCTTTTGTAATGGGACTGCCAAGGTGAATCGCCCGAGCTTTGTGGCCGCGCCTCCGGCATATCTCTCAGCTCTATTGTGACAGCGCTGCAACAGCTGAAGTGAGCTGTCACCATGATAACATCAATCTTACCTTCTTGACATTTCTTGACTGGAGTATTAGGCCGTTGGCCAGCCCTTGCCGCGCGCGGCGGTGCCGGGTCAGCCACAGGCATTTCCATGGATCCCAACATTGTTATCAGACCAGTGCAGATGGTCATTGTTCGCAGATGGCTCCGAATTACATCAACGCCCCGCGCGTAGTGGCAGCGCGTGCCCACCCTGGAATCTCTCCTGTTTTGAGATGATAGGGGAGGACCACCTGCTAGAGATGTCTCAGAATCATCTTCGGAATGCAGGGTCGTAAACAAAATATGCCTTTCGAAGTGCCGGTGCTATGGGATGCTGCGCGTGCTGCGCTAGGTTCATATAGCTCTAGCTCATGCACCTGCAAAAGGCCCAAGCTACGTCGCTGGACCAATGACGACCAATGGACAGATTCCCCTGCAGGCACCTAAACCCTACTGCCGAAACTGCGTACATGTGAGGCTTTGTGCAGCGTAGGGCACCTCCATGTGCTTGCAGCATGCCCTGATGTTCCTGTGGAAAGCTTTTTATGAATCCTGGTGGAGTTGCCAGTAGTGGGGATGAAATATTGTTGCAGCAATGTTGCAGTTGATGAGGATTAGGTTCGAGCAGGTTGGTGCCTGCGTTTGTGGTGGTACTGGCAGCAGGAGTGATGATGCTGGGTCTTGTGTTGACGATCGGGGTATTGCTGTATCCTTGAACGATTTGTGTCTGGCACTCTTCAGCCAAAAGACGCGTGCCCTTCTCATATACTTGCAGCATGCCAGTTACAACCGTGATAAGCTCAGTGTGACTGTTGCAGGCCACCGTGCGACCAGGCGTCATCATGAGTGCGGGCGCCATCCCACAAAGGAGCGCATCAGTGCGGATCTCAACTATAGCTGCACTTGACATGCAGCAGCTAGATATTCTGCCAAAGCCAACGGATGGCATTTTTTTTTTGTGGGGGGGACTTTTGTTTTTTAGGGTGGCTGAGGCGTGGAGCGTCTCACACTTGGCCTCGAAATGGAGCTCTCGCGTGAGCGTCCTCACAGGAACTCGAAATCGAGCTCTCGCGTGGAACGTGCTCGCATTTCGTCTCCAAATCGAGCTCTCGCATGGAGCGTCCTCGCATTTCGTCTCCAAATCGAGCTCTCGCATGGAGCGTCCTCGGATTTCAAGTGGAGCGCCCGCACATTTTTTCTTCAAATCGAGTTCTCGTGCCCAACGCTTTCACTTTGAGTCTCAAAATCGAGCCCTCGCGACATTTTCCTACTCTCTTGGGTTTGTTGGCTTCTTGTCGCCTTTTATTGTTGTTTCTCACACTTTTTATCGTGTTGGCTTGTTGGCTGCTTCGCTTTTTGGCTGCTCGGCTTTTTGGCTTCTTTGTTTACTTAACGTTCTGGCTTCTTCTTTTTGGCTTTTTGGCTTCTTGGTTGTTTGGCTTTTTGGTCTGCTTGTTTTTTTTAGGCTTTTTGGCTTCTTGGCCTCTTTGGTTACTTGACTTTCTGCCTTCTTCCTGTTGGCTGCTTGGCCTTTTGGCTTCTTGGCTTTCTGGCTTCTTCAATTTCTGGCTCAGTGATTTTCTCGCTTGCTGTACCTTCCTGAAGTAGTAGTGGTAGTAGTAGTAGTTGTAGTAGTAGTAGTAGTAGTTGTTGTTGTTGTACTACTGCCACCACCACAAGTAGTAGTAGTTGTTGTAGTAGGAGTAGCGGTAGTAGTAGTTGATGCCCCCAAGCGCCGCGAGTGTTCAAGTTCTCTCGGGCTATCTGCACCAATGGCTAGCAGCCTGACACCGGCGAAACATTTGCTGGCTTTTGCAAGAGAAATATTGGGCGAGGAACTTCTGTATGAAGGAGTTAGCGAGCGGGCTCGCTTGGATGCCGACGCACTGGCATTCCGCATGTGGCAGGGAGAGACCATTGACGTCTTCTTGCGAGAAGCGCGGGACATATTTCCATTTGCTGCCTTCAAGAAACTGCTTGCATTCTGCCACAGCGAATACACGGTTCTCTACGCCTCCTTGCCCCCTGATATCACCTCCTTGCAGCAGCATTTTCCTGGGATTCAGCACGACTCCCGTATTTGGGAACGCACTGCACAGCTGGAAGCTGCCGGCTCATTGGTGCCAGTTTTCAGGCCTCGGCACTGTACCCGGGACTGTACCCACAACCTCAACATGCTGGCAGATGCAGCAGCCAGAGCTTCGGGCACTGGACAGTCAGGAGGACCATCCAACACTGCAGGTAACAACTAATTACGACGAAGCCGTAGATTGGTTTTTGCAAAGCAGCTGTGAACTTCCAGGCAATGTACAAACTTTTCCATTGATCAACTCGACCTGGTCCCAATTCCAGGGATGCCCATACATCGAACCCAAAGGGCTATGTGGTGGTGGCACTGGCGTGAGGGTTAGCTCACCTTCTCCCGGTGGGCTTGGAAGCGCCCCAAGGGCGCTGAATACGGAGAGACATTTTCCCCAGTACATGCAAGCATCGCATCGGGCAGTCAAGAAGGCATACTTGAGGGCGATGGATAGGCTGAGGCGAACGGGGCGGACGGTCTACGGAGGTCGTAGCATTTCAGCCCAGCCCGATTTTCCGAGACTTCATCAGAGGACAGATACAAAGCAGCACAGAAGAATCAAATTTGCATCCTGGAACGCTGGGGGCCTTAGTTCTGATCTGATGGCTGAGACATTCGTCTGGGCCGAGCGCCAGGGTCTGGCCTGCCTCATCCTTCAGGAGACACACTGGTCGCAGACGAGGGGGTGGAGACAGGACGGGTGGTTGTGCATACACTCGGCGGCAGGAAAGCCTAAGCAGGGCGGAGTCATGGTCTGCCTGCGCTCGAGTGACACGTCCCTTCAGACTGTCCGCTGGAATGAGCTTGTGGCCGGCCGTGGTTTGCATGTTTGTGCGGAGGTCCTAGGACAACAGCTGGACATTTTGGCGGTCTACCACCTGGTCAGGTGGTCAGGACTGCTGGTGCTGGCGATGAGCTGGAGGGAAATCTGCGCAGACGCCAACAGGTCTGGAGGGCCTTGGATAGGTGCCTATCTGCTCTGCCGACGCGGTCGGCCATACTTCTGGCAGGTGATTTAAACACAGCCTTTGCGAGAACCCCAGAACTCATCGCTGAAGCTGTTTTGGAGTGTCGCTACCGTGCTCCTACAAGGAGGAGGCTGTGCAAGCTTCAGGCCTGCAGGACGTTTGGCAAGAAGGGCCCAACGTACGCGCATCCTCTCTCGAAATCGCATATTGACTATGTCTTTACTCGACGGCAGCACTCCGACACTGTGGCTAAGTGCACCGGACCCAGAGCCACACCTATTGCGGCGTGGAGAGTCGGTGGACGCAAGGTTCTGCAAGGGAGCGTATCCGCCGCTTGGAGGCCATGGAAAGTTGGAGCCAAAAACGATTCTGCGCCGTTGCCCTTAGAGGAGAGCAGATCTGACCCCAGCACCGCCGACGTCCAGGACTTGCGTCTCACAATGCTACAGAGGCAAGACCCCATCGACAGGCCCGTGGTTGCTCCCGCCTTGGCCAACATGGAGAGCGCAGTACTGGGATTCTGGAATGCTCGTAGAATCCACCTGCACACTCCAGGACTGCTTCTCCAAGATGCGATTGTTTGCGGCAATGCAGAAACAACATAGAAACCTGCGAAGCCGCGCAAGGAAGCGGAAGAAAGAGCAGGCTCTCAGCGTGCTTCAGAGAGCGGAAGCTGCGGCCCGGAAAGGTGACGCCAAGGAGCTGTACTCATGCGTTCGGTTTCTGGCGAAAGGCGGAAAACTGCGCCTAAGGGACGCGGATGGTCAACTAGTTGGACATGGGGCTGAGTGTGGCGTACTGGCGGAGTACGCCGCTGAGCTGTTTAAGGGAAGCTCCGAGAGGCTTGACTTCAGGCATTCTTCCACAGGAGTGGTTTTCGCCTGAGGAGTGGCGATGAGCCTTCTCGAAGCTACGAGGCGGAAAGGCTGTGCCGGCAGGCCAGCCATGTATCCAGATCTGGAGGGAAAACACTGACGCCGCGGTTCACGCCCTCTCTCGAATTGCGGCGTCTTCGGTGTGCTCCAGTACACCTTTTGTACCTGTTCTGTGGTGTAATGTTGAACTTGCTTGGCTCCCTAAGCCTGGTAAGCCCCCTGTAACCCCGAAGTCTTTGAGAAGCGTGGGCTCGACCGCTGCGGACACTAAAGCTTGTCTCATTCTGCTTAAGAAGCGGGCTACAGAGACCATACTGGCATCGTTGTGGCATACTCCACAGTTTGCGTACCGACCTGGTGTTGACACTAACAATGCCATCTTACATGCTGTGCGCCATTGTCGCTCAGTCAGAGACATGCAGCGGCGTCGCAGAGGAGACCACACGTCAAAGCTGCTTGACAACCAATCTGGCACCTTCACTGGGGGCATGATGATTAGTCTTGATCTTGCTAAAGCTTTTGACTCTGTCCCACATTCTGAGCTTTCTGCTGCATTATCTGAGTCCGGGGTTGAACTTTCCCTCATAGAGTGCTTGCTCGCAGTCCATCAGCAGACGCGATGCGAAATACGACACTCTGGCCAAGTTCGTGCAGTTAACATGGGGAGGGGGCTCCAACAAGGCTGCCCGATTGCGCCGATATTGTTCTCGGCTTGGACTGCGAGACTGTGCCGCGTCATAGACGCGGAACTGGGAGAAGGCTGGATTCAGACGCATTTACGTATCTTTGCTGATGACACATGGGGATCCTGGAAGGTTCATGGTGCCTCACAAATGCGGGCTGCCTTCAGGGACACTGAAAAGCTGTTTGAGATCTTTCAGAGACTAGGCGTGAGCATCAACTTTGAGAAGTCTTCTCTGGTTATCAGTATGCATGGGAGTGGTAAGCATGGCCTTTCCTACGGGAGCTTCGAAGCGGAGACGGTCAGGCTGCGAGTTGAGAAGGCCACCTCCAATTTCAACCAACTTCGCAGGGTTCTGCGAACAAATGGTGCGCTCTCCAAGGAGCACAGATTGCGGATCTATGTTGCTTGCGTATGGTCATCACTCAGGTATGGGGTCTGCGCAATGGGGATCACACAGCATACCTGTGGGACCATTGTATCCACACTATGCATGCAGCTCAGGAAGGTTCCAGCGTGGGGTCACCAATCAGACAGTGCTGGCGATGGCTTCCATCAACCCGCTTCAGGAATTCCGCGGACAACTGCGCTCCATACAGACCAGGCTCATTGCGGACGCAGGCCGCAGTCCAGAGTTCATCTCCATTGAACAGCATGAGGTTGACATACGTTTGAGAGCACTTGATTCCATTCTCGAGCAGCAGAGAGACTGTGGACTTATTGAAATTGCGTCCTCGCCAGGTTCTGAGTTCATCTGTGAGACGTGCGGTTTGGGCTTTGGCACGGCCGAAGTTGCACGTCAAACACCGCCACCCTGAGATTCACCTTGGATCTGGAATCCCGTTTAGTCGGCGTGAGCACTCCCTGCATGGACTACCGCATTGTCGTTTCTGTAGGCAGCAGCTGTTCGACTTTGCGTCCCTGCGCAAACACATCGCTTCTGGAACGTGTCAAGTCCTCAAGAGCGCAGCGGCTCGGAAGGTGCCCGTAACAGTGCTTTGGCAGGAGATTTTGGACAGGGAGCAGACAGATCCCCCGACAATGCCAACAGGCCTTCCAGAAGTTGACTGTGGTGGTAGTGCTGAATGGTTGGATGCTCCCATTCTTGATGTCCTCGCTGATTCCAGGCTGCTTCATCGCGCCCGGCGCACGTGTCTCTTATGTGGTCAACGCCTCATCGGAGTGACCAGAATGCGGACACACTGGAGAGCATCACATGCTGTAGCCTGGAGTTTGACTGAGAGCTACACGCCTGGTGCCTGCGCAGTGTATCAGCTACCTTTCAGGCAACACCGAGCCAAATCCGCGGAGGCGCGCTCCAAACAGTGCTATGTCACATTTCAGATCCTGGCCGTGCGTCAGCTACATCAGCTTGGCAGGCTCTCGGAGATGCAACAGACCACGGATGCGGTAAAAAAGCGACAAAACAAGGCCAACCCGGCCTATGCCAGCTTTGACGTGAAGAGCACTCCGATAGGTCGTGCGACAGGGGGATAACCACACATACGACATCCAGGTCACCGCTGGAAGCTAGGGCTCCCCCGGTGCAATGGACAGATGAGGCCAGCCGATCTTGGCCTTCAAGATTGGTGTTGTTGAACCCGTCCTCGCGCTGCTATGCGAATGCTAGTGTGCTGTCGCTGTGCCATGTTTGGGGGCTTACAAGTCAAGTACCAGAGGCCTGCCGACTGCTTTACACGATGTTACGCACTCGCTCGAGCCTCGGAGTTTCTGTATCTTTGCACGCCCGACCTCTGCTGCGACGGATGATGCCAACCTGGGAGTTCAGTACCCAACAAAAGGACGCGCTGGAGTTCCTCACTCATCTCCTTCGAGCAGGCGCAGCCAGCCCCAACATCTGGCTAGTCGGGTCGATGAGCTTGGGGTGGTCAGGTCTCTGGACTATGGCAATGTTATCTCCCTCGCTCTGCCGGACGCAGGCGCACGGCTGCAAGAACTTGTGGACGCCTGGCATGACCAAATGGGGGTCCATTCGCTCTCTGAGGAATCCGATGTGGTTCTTCTACACCTTGGCAGATACAGAGACGGACGAAAGGGCCTCCCGAGTCTCATTCGATGAGGACATTGTGCTTCCACGCTTTGACCAGGGAGTGAGCTGCATTTGGATGATCTACAGGCCCGTTGCTCTGATGCCTGGCTATTCACCGATGACAACACGGCTGCAGCACCATGTGCTCTTAGTGACCTGCGCTTCCGGAATGTTTACTTGCTCTGGGTTGCCAGACCAGCTAGACTGCCAGGAGTCCCTTTCCCTAGCCAATAGCGGGAGCAACATGTCAACGGACACGGCCAGCCCCGCACCATTCACGGATGATCTGGAAAATAAGTTCTGGCAGCAGTACATGCCGTCCGGGAAGCTTGGGCTCACTCCGCAGGAGGCCGGAACGGACAGCGTGAAGGTGGATGAGCAGGGCAAGTCGACACAGGGCGCTGCGCATGATGATGATCAAAGAGGTGGCAAGTGGGCCAAGTCGGAAGCGGATGCGCGGAAGGGCAAAGGCCGCGCAACCGGACAGCAGCAGAGCTGGAATGGCAGGAACCAGCGCGGCTCGTCGCGCAACACTGCGCGAGACGATGGGCAAGACACACGCTGGCGTGGCGGAGATTGGCGGCGATCTCAGGCCGATGAAGGAGATGTGAGGCGGCAGCTGCAGGTGTTACAGCGCTTGGTTTTGCGTCATGAGGGCGCGATCAACTGCCTTCGCAAGGAGTTTTCTTGGGTACTCTTTCTGAAGACCTCTGTGCCATCGTCGATCGTGCCAGCTCTTGCGCAGGCAAGAATTGGATGGAGCGAGACTAAGTCCAAGAACCCCTCGTCCCTCGCAAGCCCATGCGCAGCGCCCTCTTTGGCTGCCTCTTTTCGGAGCTTCTGGCAAGGATGGTGGCTCATCGGACGGATACTAAGCTTCAGGAGGACATGGCCAACCTCAAGTGGTTCAGTGTTGCTGAGCAGTCCTGGAGCTACATGGTCTGGGATGCGGAGAACAAGCTGCTTATCCCAGATGGATCGCGGCGGGGTCTGGGCGTGGACAAAGCTGTGGTCCATGTTCAGAACATTCTCAAGCACGCGGCTGAGCCCGACACCATTGCGCGATTTCATCCCACGAGGCCCCTGGTTCCGGAGCTTAAGGGAGACGCCATAACTATGCTTCTGCAGACAGGTCTGCAGACACAGGCGTCCTTGGCCCTACATGATGATCTTCGTGCGCTGAGCGGCTCGGCAGTTGGACTGTTGGTTGGACTCCAGATGAAGCCGGACAGAGGTCAGCGCTCAGCCCTTGCGCAGGCCATGGCAAAGGATCTCCCACCCTAGCAGTTTTTGCAGCTGGGTTTCCTTCGTATCCTCATGAGTGCTCTGCCTTGCATTTGTCTTGCGCATCCCGATGCGGACAGCGCCACGGATGATTCTCAGCCCCCGCGGAAGTGGAAAAACACTAGCATTGTGCGCCAGACCTCCTCTTGCATGCTTTGGTCTCTGCAGCGTCTCTCCTGGCATTGTACTCGAAGCTGTGGATGCATATGCTGCCTCAGGTGCGAGTTGACACATGGTATGGATGGCTTTTCGCTCAGATTCTTTTCAGCGCGTGCTGGGTGACATTCTCCTGCTGCTCAGGCCGAGTCGGTGCTTGGGTGCCATAATCGGAGCATCGCTATGGATACGTGCCCTGGGGATCTCAGGTGAAGGGAGCGTATTGCAGATCTCGTTACATTCTTGGGCAGAGCGCTGTTTCGCGTTGACCTTCTGCAGAGCATGGATGCCCACTATTCACGGGCTCGAGCAGTTTTTCCTGTTGGCTATGCAGTCCATTGGGCATGCTAAGGGCTGGGGATGGGGGCGCAGCAGTTCCTTCTTTTGCTCTGGGGCTCTGCTGGTGACACTGGCTGTTGTGGCCTGCGCGTCCCTGATGGATGCTGGAGAACACCTGATCGAATCTGGCAATCTTCTTCTTGGGCGACCAAATCTCTTTCGGGTGGACATGCCTGCCTTCAGCAGACAGGTTGAGGCCGCGCTCATTCCCGCGGAGAGGCTGGCCTATGGTTGTCTTGCGCAAGGCTGGGTAGACTCCCGCAAGCTGCAGGAACTCTTACATCTGCTACCAGCGAAGGGCCAGACCCGCAATACGACGAGGCAGGCCGAGGCGCTGGACATAAACGAGTACGCGCCTCGCTCCTTTGCTGTTGGCGCCTACGCGCATGGACCACACTATGGATTGATGCGCAACACCAAGGCCTTCCCGTATACCACTTTGCTGCTTACCTCGTTGATTCAAAGAGCATCAGACTGTCCCTTTTTCTCATCAGTAACAACCCTCTACAACTGCCTCGCTGGACTGCGCAAGGATGGCAATAACATGCCTGGGGTGATGAACACCCTAATTCCTATAACCACTTTCTCTGGAGGTGAGGTCTTTGTTCAAGATGGGTGCGGACAAGATCAGCTGTTGCCATACGAAATCCGCGGCACCAAAATTCCTGTCGTGGCTCCATTCGTACTTGTGGATGGCTCCCTGCCCCATGCAACTTGCGGATGGCGTGGCGTGGCAATAGGATGCTAATCGTGGCCTACCATGCCAGAGATCCTCATCGCTGGCCGGATGGATGCGTTGACCTCCTTCTGGGCTTCGGATTTCGGATCAAGCTGGAGCAGTCCTAAGACACGCTTGTCTTGATATTGATCATGCGCTGCGCGCTGCGTGGGCTTGTGTCCGATGTACTTCTGCTTGCATCTCTGGAGTGATTCCTCGACTGCGCTAGCTGTCCAAAATGCATTTCAGTGGTTGTGCTTGGTTGGACCACGCACGGCCTCTCTGTTACCTGGACAGGTACCTTTCCTCTGATGATTTCTCGAAATTTTGGCTGCTGACCTCTTTCGGCAACTGCTTAGGGGCCTAGGCCCGGGTTGCCCAGGCACTGCTAGGGACTACGGTCCGGGTGCCTTTATGGCCGCCAATGAGCGCCGCTCATGCCTCATGCTAAGCAATGGTTGCACTGCAATCGCGGTTCGAAGAAGAAGTTGATGCCCCCCCCTGTGGATCGCTAGCTGGCAGATAGAAATGCACAAGAGCGCCCAGAAGGAAGCAGCTGCTTTTGTCAAGGAGCAGTCGCGCGCATCCAGCGCTGAGTCTTCGGCTATGCTAAAAGGGGACCCGTCTTGAAAGAGAAAGTTGCCACAGCAAGGCATGCGTTGCATGCTTCACGAACTGAAGTCCAAATGCTGGGCAACTCGATGGACAATCACGAGTTCATCAAACTTAGCTTCATTGATCTTCAGGGTTCTAGGGTTCTTGACTTGAGACGTTCGGATGATTATCTTCAGGAGTTTAGTTCTGTTGTTGTGTGTGATGCTAGAAATGTTTATGATGGTTTGGCGAAGGTTGAAACGTCTGGTTTGCATATGGAAGAGAAGCGCACTGCCATTGAACTTTTGGGGGTCAAGGAACGTGTGCAACAGGCGAATGTTATGATTAGGTGGGTGGATGGGGATCAAGAACTAGCTGATTCCCTTACGAAGCCGTGGGTTTACGAACAGTTGCTTAAAGCCCTGGACCTTGGATGCTGGATGATTGTCTTTGATGAAGCTATGCTTTCGGCCAAAAAGAAGCGTCAGTTGAGACGCCAAGCGGGCCGCGATCAGAGTCAAGTTGAACACTGGCAAAAAGAAAGTTTAGAGCAGTGAAAACGTGCTCTCAGTTGCCAGTGCTCAGCACTTGTTGAGGATCTCGCAACCCTCCGGAGCCTTCGACTCGTCCAACTTAAGACTGAAAACTTTCCCCTCTGCCCTTGAAGAACCTTCTGCTCCATGAGGACAGTGAGTTGTCCTCCCTGGCTGGAAAGATCACGACGCGTCGCCCAAGAGGCGTCCGTGTAGGTCACTATAATAGGTTGACACAAATCACTCTCATAAGTCAAACCCCTATCCGCAAACCTACGTTGTAAGCGAACAAGTTTGTTGGCAGCAAGAAGATCATTCACAGTGGCGGTTTCAACACAACCCTGAAGATGCGAAACAGTAGCTAGGAGCCAGGGCGCTGTCTGTGTCGCCTGTCCAATTGAGGGCACCCAAAACTCTTCGGAGTTCACCCTTTTTCGGAAGGTGTCACTGCCTCATCACTAGCCTTCTGACGTTCCTTAGGGATATTGATCTCATCCACAGAGGCAGCAAAACGCTCTTGATGTAAGGTGATCCGAAACGAGCTCAGCCACAATACACCACGGTACTGTTTTGAGCACATTGCCAAGCCCCAAAAGGATATCGTTCCCGAAGTTGTTTAACCATAACATCATAAAAATCCCCTCTTCCCCCCGTAATAATATCATCAACATGAACACCGAGGTAACCAACAACTTCTTGCGATTCAGGATCAAGGAGCTTATACAGACACTGGTCGGTTGCATGCCGGACCCACCCCTGTTTCAACAGAAACTGAGACAGAGACTCATGCCACATCTTTGGTGCGTTCAGGAGCCCATATATCGCTTTGACAATGCGGAAAACCTGAGTATCTGTCATCCCAAGCTGCGCTTTAACTTCCGGAGGCGGATCAGCGTACACCTGGCGAGACCACTCCGTGTCATCGCCTCGTAGAAAGGCGGTTTTGATGTCTCCTACAGACACCCGAAAAGATTTTCGAGCACACTCAGTCAGCAACAGGTTCCTGCCCATAGTCGACAAGGTGAGGGATTCCCGAGGAATTTCAAGGAGATTGGGATCTTCAAATCCCGGAACTATCAGTCTAGCCTTGGCCTTCCTCCCCGTAGCAACCCCATCATTATCACAAATGGTTTTCCAAGTGTACACAAAACGCATGCCCATAATCCTTTCAGGGGGAATACCTGCGGCTTCACAGATTCGGACAGCAGCTGTACTCATGAAGGACTGAGTCTCTGCTTTCATGGCCTGTTCAAACTCTCCACGCTCGGCCTGACTAAGCTTTCGCAACTGAACCTCGACATTCTTCTTGGCCTTCTGATTAACGACCCAAACTCCCTTAGAACAGTGAACATCCCGAGGAGAAACATTAAAGGCCATCTCAACAACATTAAGTTCACCAACATAACCCGTAAACACATCTTCAGGCACTAAAGGAGCTTGATTGAACAGCACATGATCTGGATCACCACGGGCTCGAGGAAACCGGCTCCTTGATCTCACTGGGGTTCCGTCCCGGATCCCTGCTTCATGGCGGTGCGCTGCAACTCCGTCAGGATGGCGCCCAGCATGTGCTCCATCTTCCCGATGCACTCGTTCATTTGGATCATGGACTCCTGCAGCTCCACCTGACCGATCTCCACTGCCTCGACTCGGCTCATCTCCTCGTCCAGGTCCGTCTCGTCGAGGCTTGGCCCTTTGACCGTCACAGTCTTCTGGTGTCCCGGCGCCGGCAGGCCCGCGCTTCCGGTCCCGGGAGTCTCCTGGGGTGCTGTTTTCGGACGGACTACTCCTCCCTGGTTCTGAATGTCGCTCGCGAGGCGGCGCTCGAGAAGGATGAGGATCTGCCGCATTCCGACCGAGGTGGTCTTCCGAGTGCCGGTTTGGTGCTCGGTCAACCATTTCACGTACCCCTTGTCCTGGTACAGGTCGCTGAAGGTTTTGCCCTTGTACTTCCTGGCTTGAATCTTGAAGTTGTCGATCTCGGCCTCCGGGATGTTCAGGGTCCGCTCGAGCTCTGCCTGGATTTGAGCCGCGGTTGGCTCGCGATCCTTCGGGTAGAGCTGATTGTAGAGGTCCTTCAGGTTGCGATTCGCCATCTGGAGGAAGAAGCAAAGAAGGGATATCGTCTCGACCAAGAACTGGCTGCTCGTTGGGGTCACGTTGTTTCCCTCTCATGCGCTTCAACGGTGGAAGTACTTCCTCTAAAGGTTGCATGTCATCCTCTGATGGCTCATGTTGCAAAGTGATGTCAAGATAACGCTGCTGATTAGCCACTTGCGCAAGCATGTCATGAAAACTCCGTGGACCATTGAGGTCGGCGTCAAGGCGTCTAAGATCTTCCGTGACGGCGCGTAACTGTTCCGGACTACAACGTAACATTTTCCCCGTCGATCCCGGACCCCCATTGACCTCTCCATCCCCGGTTTTCTCATGACACAACACCCGAGCCGGCCCATACCAATGCCCACCATACCGAGATCCCTCCTTCCTACCACGACGATAGTAGTAGACGAGGTCACCAGACGAGAATTCACGAAGGGGTCGGCCTTGTGCGCGAAGCGCTCTCTGAACCCTACGTCGAGCATCAATTTCGAGAAAATGTTTGCGTGCTGATGTTTCTCTCTGCAAAGCACTTTCGAAATCTTCGTATCCACGTGCACTTTCGGTGGGAGGATGGTCTCCCTGACTCAAGAAGGAGGAGATCGGACTGTCGTTTTGTCCGAAAGCCCATTGATTAGGACTATACCCGCGAATGTTGTGCATGTTGTTCTTGGCAGAGAGAGAAAGATTCAAAACTTCTTCAGGGGAAGAAACATTTTGAAGCTCCGTGCACAGAAGGTTCATGCTTTCCTTAAGGGTCTGAATGTGCTTGGAATGTTTTCCCAGTTGCCAAGGACTCTCTCCTGCGATGGGCTCAAGTCGAATACCTATAGCTTCCAGCCACTCAACCACATCAAGTCGCTTCAAAAACCCCTCTTCGTCATATCGAAGAACCTGAGGAGCAGGAAGGGTTCGCAGCCATCCCTTGGACAAAGCTTGACGAAACTCCGGCCCTGACATGTTGGTTTGGGGTCCTTCTTTACTAGACTTGACAACATGAACAACATGCAGATCACAGGCTTCATCCATCATGCTCAGGCATAACAGGTGGTCTGGCTTCTGTCCTGGTTGCAGCGCTTCTCGAGGAGTGTGCCACCAAAGGTATCAATACTCATACACTGCCACTTATGGGTATAATGGGGAAGAGTGGCGGGTCTTAAAGTAGCTCTACGGCCCCTTTGTCTACACTCCGGACAGTCAAAATGCGCTGCTTGATCAAGGATACTGGCGTCAGCTCCTGCGTCCCGAAGAAGTTTCAGAAAGGCTTCTTTGCTGGGATGACCAAGGTTCCTATGGGCCAAAGTAAGTTTACGCTTAATCCCGGGGTCCCACCTAAAACCATCTTCAGGGAAATGATCTTCGGGTTCAGCAGGCATATCCTCTTCGGGATCCAAAATGGCCCCGTCATCTACGGCCACGTCTTCTGAGTCGCCGACAAAAACTGAAGAGCTCTTCGAAGGTGTCCAGGCACAATCCTTAATATAATCTCCTTGGTACATGTTCCTTAGTAGTACCTTAGCAAAGCGTTGGCAAAGAAGAAAAGGGTAACTTGCAGATTGTGGTGCCTTCTGTCCACCTTGTACTGGCTCATGCTCAGCACTCTGATGCACACATGGAATCGCGAGTGCTGCCTTCAACCCTGGTGAACTACTAAACCAACCCCAAGGTTTCTTACGCAGTTTACCTTCAACCCCACCGCGGAGACCATGCGTACAACCAAACACACTAAAACGTTCTCCACCACAAAGTTGAACCATCCTACGAAATTCTGGCAGTCTCCACGATTGTGCTGTGAGCGGCTGCTCACCACCGGCATGCCCCGTGACTGAGTCGCCCTGACACAGTCCAGCGTCTCTACCACCTTCTTGTCGTTGTATCTCTACAAGCTTACAGCAGTGTCGCAGTAACTTTCTACTAACCCTCTGCTTTTCTTGGAGGTCCCGAACCTGTTGGGGATTTCTTTGATTCGCGTTTTGAAGGATACTCCAAGGATAACAAGGTGGTGAGATATGTACGTACTTCGGCTTGCAGTCTCGGAGAAGAGCAGCGGCACGTAGAAAACCCTCTCTAGTGCTAAGGTCAAACCCGTTATGGACCCCAATAGCCAAGGCACGTCCGCCCGCCTCACGAATGGCTTGAACTAGAGGCGAATCCCAGGGCGCACACACCTCAAGTAAATCCAATTGGGGGCCCTTAACAAGATCCAACCAATCCCTTTGGGCAATTCTACGTTCTTGCTCAATCTCTCTCTTCGCCCTACGACTGGCAGCAGCAGACAGCTCCAAAGACTCAACATCGACAAAATCATCCACCATCAACATGGAAGAGTCATCTCCATCAGAGTCACAACCACTCAAGACCATTCCACTGTCATTAAAACAGCTTCGTCCATTAAGGTCTTGGTGGAGCTGTCCCTAAGCTTTGCTTGGGGCACGTGTCGGTTCCACTGGGTCCCCTTTCTCTGGCTCTCCTGTCTGTACATGGAGATTATCCTTAGCGCAGCTGCTTAGCAATTCTACTGTCGGATCCGTCTGATCCACAGCGAGAGCTTGAAGAACTTCACTTCTGCCAGCAAAAGCTGTCATGGGCAGCAAAAGATGATTACTGGAACTGCGCTCAAGTTTGATTTGCTGCTCAGAAAGCTTTCGAAAGACAGCAATCCCTTTTCTGAAATTGATGGTCGCATCCAGATCATAAAGAAATTTAGCGGAGAGAAGAAAAGGGGTTGCGCCTTCAACCATGTGAGCTTGCACTGGCACTTCCTGTCCGCAAATGCCTGCGTTGACATGTGTGAGGCCAAGTCCTGCGCTGGTCAAGTTATTACCATAGGTGAACTGTTTATGGATGTTTCGGTCCACCTCGATCTCTTCCATGGGATCAAACTCTAGCTCACGGAGGCATTCAGCAAGGTCTTGAAGCGTGTCCTCGCCAATGATGTTCTCTGAGGCGCCACTGTCAATGATGGCCATGCCCTTTTTCGGACCATGTGCGAGAAAAACATCCTCGCCACCATTCGTTTTCAGAATCGTGCCCACATCATTGTCAGGCGGTGCCACGCTTGACACCACGAACGCTGAGGCAGGAGTCACTTCCTCACGGTACATGTCATCGAGGTTTTCCTCCAGATCCCACGGTCCCAGAGGATGGTTGTCGTCATCGTCGTCCTGCAGTTCTTCGTCATGCACACTCACCATCCAGCCAACAAAGTTCACGGCACCATTTTTCCCACGCCCCTTGGCGTTTCCTGCTCTCTGAGGACAGTTGCGGGCTATGTGGCCTTTCTTCCCGCGTCGCACACACGCAATCTCGCTGTGGTCTGCGCCACCTTTTCCAAAGCCACGGCCATAGCCCTTGCCATCTGGACGAGGAGCGTTCGGATTCCGGACTGGATAGAATCCTCTGGAGGTCCGGGCCTGATCAAGGGCCCGTCTTGCTTCCCGGAAGTTTGCCAGGATCGCCTCATCCTCAGGCTCTTCCATTAGAGCCGCTTTGGCATCTTGATACCAGAGTATGGCCTCGTCTTCTTCATCAAACTCGGCAAGATTGCAAGATCCATCGGATCTTGCTGTCCATCAGCCTGATGAACTTCACCAAGGCCGCCCTCATCTTCACAAAGGAAAGTCTGACCTTCCTTGCGACGTCTCCGAATCTCAGCATCTCGCTGAGCCAAGCTTCCACTAGACCACATCGTGTGCAAAGCCGTGGTCACATCTTCAAGCTTGTAGCTGGCCGCTTGTCCTCGAACATTTGCCGCATCAGAAGATTCCAGGCGCATGAAGACATTGACCATGAACCACCCAAACACTTCTGTCGGCATCTTGTTTGCAGAACCTACAGCCACCAGTGCTTTCTCCATCTTTCGGACCAGAGTGCGATATCGGGCCTCGAAGTCATTCATCTCTTCGCCATCGCGACGGAAAGTTTCCTTCTTGAGAAAGAATTCAGAAAAAGCATCTCCCAGCAAGTCCACTTTGGTCTTGCCTCGCGTCTTTTCCAGATGAGCAAGAAGATATTTCCAGCCATCTTCTTTTCTCAATTCCTCACGATTGAGATCTTCAATGCCATCAAAAGCCTTGCCAACAAGATTGGTCGCCAGGCGAGGTCCCAGCTTGTAGGTTTGCACTTGTCCTTGTT